CCCACTTGCACAAGTTAGCAACATTATATGGTCTATATTCACTAGTATTGAGTAGAGAGTATAAAGTCAAATGTATCTTCCATACTCGCAACATAAGTTCGTGATATAACCCTTAGATAAGTGATCAAATATTCTTTTTTTCTTTTAGATATTTATATGAACGTGAAACATTCAAGATTCTATTTCCCAAAAACTGACTTGTGTCAACCAAAAGCAAACTGCATAATTGATCCATCAATTCAGTCTTAACACGACCATGAATTTTTAATATCAACACCAAATCATCGAGGGACCCAAATATATCGACTCTAATTATTTAAAGAAGAAGCGAACAAATAAACTTTGATCGCATAGATTCCACTTATTCCTCATGTCATATCCAGCCAAACTCTATATGATTTCCATTTACGAACAACGTTGGGGAAAAACCAAGACACAACAGATTGTAGGAGAAAATCTCATGCATCTCCCTTTGAAGAAAATATGATATTACCATCTTAGAATTACTTGTGACAGAATCCATGAAGTGATCTCTAAGTGCAGGTTACTCCAATAGTTTAAAATCTCCATTTAAAGTACTCATAAGTATTTGTTGCAAACTTTGTTATGTTCATCCCCATGGACAATCTACCAATGCTCCATGACAATCTTAAATCACTACTTACTTCCAAGAGTAGGACCGATTGTGGAAGTTTGAATAAATTAACATTCTAGAAGTCGTTCTAAACACGCAAAATTGGAACACAGTGATAATCTAAATGAAATAACCGAACTCCATCAAATATTAAGTTCTTCACTTAATAATCGCCAGATCAAATAGAGACCACAACTGCATCAGTTCCTGAATTAAAACAAACTAAACTAAAAGTGCTCAAGTTAATACACATGCAAGTCTAAAATCATTAGATCTTAATGTGACTATTAACCTTGATTAGGGTTTTTAGTTTAAAGGAATGAATCGACAAAATTCTCTTTAGTTGACTATGATGTCCTCACAATCGTGAAGGTACTTACTGAGTATTTACCATGTGATCTTATGTGGCTTGGGGTCTATACTTGAGGTAAGGTTACCTTTTAGTCACAAGAAACTTCAAGAGAACCCTCAATGAACACTGGGGTCACTAATGAATTTCTTTTAGTCACATAGTTTGTCTTTGCAATTTAACTAACTGCAATATACTTTAAGCTTATTATCAAATCCACTTAGGTGTATTAGTTGGAACTCTTACAAGCTAGTACTTTATTATTCATTAAGAGCATGAAATTCGACTGCTAAACGGAAACGTCTCTATTAGTAAAGAACTCACCACCAATGTAACTCTTTCACGGATTTCTTCCATACTAGCAAGATTATCTCTTTCTTCCTTTTAGGATTCCAGAGAATATTCTTGATTCTTGATTTGTTTATTAAAGCCAAAAATGATCTTATGTGACTTGTTATGCACAAGGCATACGAATAATTTCATTTACTAGCATGAACTCTTTAAGAATTATGCATCTTAGGTTTCCTCGAGATTCCAAATACTTGGCTTAAATCAATGATTCACTTAGATCTATCTCCATAGACTCTAAGTATACTTTCTTGTTCCTCCCATGTGATTCACAACGAAACAATTTCTAAGTTATGTAAAGCTTTCACACTTAGCAATGTTAGAACATCGTTTCCTATTTCAATAGAAGGGACAACATCGCTCCCAGACATTTATATGGATTATCTTTTATTTTTCGTGATTCAACTTTTGAATTTCTCATCGAAGCAAATGATCCAAACATGAGATGCTTGTTAGAACCCATCAATGGACTTCTCCAGCCTACGCACCTTTCACAACCTATCTTTGTTTAAATATATGTTGGTTCCTATCAATGACTATCATCTTTTGAAGATCTACAAACATTATATTGTTTTAACACCAAGTGTCATATCAATTCAAATTTCTAACATGCATGGGCTAAATCTCATTCCTCATAGTTTCCTCCAATTTTGGCTTATTGGGCCTTCCATAGCTTTCGATAATCGATAGCCTCTGATCGTAATCTATCAGTGACTCATTTTTCATGTGACATGGAGTCAACAAGGTCCATGACGTCTTCTATTATATCTACGTGGAAAAGATATACATCATGATCTTGGATATCTCATTAGATACCCAATCATTTGAAAATTCCGTCTTATCCAAGAAGGTTGCCACATAGTAATCGACAAACATGCCACCTTTCTCATTGGATTATCTTTCATGAAAACCAAAGTTCAAATTGATTTGTTTTTTGTAAATTGTCTTCTTTATGGGTTTCATTCATGAATTGGATTCCCTTTTCTATGAACATGCATCAAATTGATCGGATTTTGGATGTATGCAAATTGTATGACAAATGTTCCCAAAAAACATGGTTACCGTTAATATTAAGAAAGAACAGAGGTTGGGTTGTTAAAACCAATGTTTGGATGGGTTTCAAGAGATTGTGTCACTTGCTTCCTTTTACCCTTTGTCATCTTGTCACGACGGCCACCAATAACTATCGCCTTCACCTGGAGAAGAATAACCCACCCCCCCCCCCTTCATTTTTGTCTCTTCATCTCTCCACCTCCATGTTCGCTCAACACCCCAACACCGATAGCTAGTTGTGGGACCAAAATCAAGTTTGAATCAATCTTAGGTATCAACTAACACAAATATGGGTTTCTCCGATTAAACACGCGGGTTTGAAAAAGAAGCTAAGAGGGGAAGTAGAAAGGGAAGAAATTATTAAAATGACTAAAATACACTTGTGTGCATGATTCTTGACGTAAGCAAACTAACAGGAGTTAGTCCAAGAGACTAATCTCGCTAATATAGTTTGAAATAGATACCAATGTTGAAATAATGATGATAGTTACATGAGAGATGTAATAAAACCTAAATATTATGACCAAGCATGTAATTACTCTTAATATTATTATAAAAATAAAAAACAATAAAAATAAATTAAAAATAAGAGAGAATATGATAGTTTTTTTTATTTGTCGGGGATTAAACTTATAACAAAATAAAACTATAGTTCCATCCGAATGAAAAAGAAACGATAAAAACGAAATACAAAGTCGCAACTCACAAACCACGTAGATGATTTGTGTAATTTACTCAAAATAATTAATAATCAAATAGATAAACAAAATTATAAATATTACGTCGTTTTACATTTATCTGATATACAATCATTATTTTTTCTTAATAATATTGTTTTTTAATGCTAGTTATGACTTCCATTATATGATTAAACACGCTTTCATCTCCTTTTTCAAGGCAAAATTTAAGAATAGGTCCTTATGGTTTACAAAAAGGACAACTATAAAAAGTGTCATGTCATTAGTCCTTGTGGTTTAGCTTTTGGCGTGGTTGATCCTTGTGGTTTTATTTTGTTTTAAAATTATTATTGTACACCTACACTTTTAAATTTTGATTTTCCTTTTAATTTAAAATAATATTTTAAAACTAAAAAAATCTACTATAACCCTAATTAAACTCGAGCCTTTCTTCCCCTCTTTAGACCACGTGGAAAGAAAAGAGCATCTTATATCTCTACATCTCTCTCTTTCTTATATTCTTCGGTGAGACACGACTACTTCCGCTACACACATTTGAGAAACCCTAAAGTTGTTGGGTCACCTCAGTGTCGTCCCCATACGAGAAACATCGACGTCGTCCGACCACCTTAGTGCCTTCATCGCCTCTCTTTTGTGGTTCAAGAGTTTGCTTCCTCACCCCGTTATAGAGCTTCGACCATCGGATGCTCCACCTGACAGCCTTCTTCCACCGGTCATTGGTTACAGTCCCTCCCTTTCTGCTAAAGCCCATCATGAAAAAATATAAACCGTATCGTGGGAAGCTAAAACCTAAGGCTATGGTTAAGAAACCCATCAATACAAGGGAATAATATTATTTTCTAAGAAAACTACCTAAATGAGTGTTGATTAAACCATAGATGATGCTTCTAATTCGGAGGAAAAAGAAATACAAGCTGAAACTACTCATTCTCAGCCCTCGATTATGCTTGACAGAGCTACAAAACTGCTTTTGACATTGATTCCACCCAATTCTTCCTCCCTTGAAGGATTTGCATCCTCAAATGATTTTATTAGCCTTGTCTTGGTTTTTGGAAAGGGAACTTCCCTAACGAGGGTTTCCGGGCCAGCTTTCGCGCACCGACTAATCCCCCGCTGCAAACATGAGGCTTTGCCTCATGCCCTGGAGTCACTGCAAGCGAACCTCCATGGCCACAAGGGCTGAGTAGTGCCAAGATTTGAACATGGATCAATAGGTTATCTACCAAATCTTCCACATGCCTTACCAAGTCACCACAACCCATTCCACATGCCTTGTCTTGGTTCTCACATGAGTGAAAAGTATTAATCCACATTATGAGTATGAAGCCTTTCTTGCCCTAAAAGAGAAGGTGTAATGGTAGGGGTTTAGAAAAGGAGGTCGGAGATGATGATGAAGATGGTGTCCGGAGTTGAAATAGGGGTGGTGATGAACGAAATATATGAAAAACGATTAGGTATGGGGTGAGGTGGGGTGTTTTTTTTAATTTAATATTATAAAAAATTAAAAATAGTTAAAAGAAAAGAAAAGAAATACATTAGAAAGGGCAATATAGTCTTTCATATAGATAATGACCAACCACGTAAAAAGATAAAACTACAAGGACCACCGGTGTGATATTTTGCAACGTTGTCATTAAAATGAAAATTTTGATAAACAACAAGGATCAATTCTGAAATTTTATCTTTTTTTTAACCTAAATAATAAAAAATTGATAAACTTACAAAACTTCAACCCAAGTACCCACACAACAACGAATCGTTGACTAAATGACGTCATCTCTTCCCCTTTGACTCTCTCTCTCCCCGTCCCTTCAAAGACCCCAAAGTTCTCTCTCTTTATACCCTCCAACTTCTCTCTCTCTTTCTCTCTCTAAAAAGTCTAAACACACAATTGATTCCTACACAAAAACACACACAAATGGCGAGAGAAAAGAGCAACGGATTGTACCTGAGTGTTCCCAGCTTCTTCAAGTGCCCGATTTCCATGGACGTCATGAAATCTCCGGTCAGTCTATGTACCGGCGTCACCTATGACCGGGCCAGCATCCAGAAATGGCTCGATTCCGGCCACAATACTTGTCCCGCCACCATGCAAGTCCTTCAATCTACCGATGTCGTTCCTAACCTCACACTCCGCCGTCTCATTCGTGTATGGTCTGATTCCTATCTCCTCAGCCCTGCATCAAACGCCTCATTCAACAACCATCTTGCCTTTGATTCCTTAAAGAAATTGATTAACAACGAACAGACGCAACCGCAACTCCTTTCGTTAGGTACGCTATCGAGTATTGTTAGTTTTGCGAAATTGTCGATTGAAAACAGAGAATCATTGGCGAAATTGGACGGATTCGTTCCGACGCTAGCGAGGAATTTAAGAATTAGTAATGAGATTGAAGTTGCTGAATTGCTGGTCACTGCTTTGGATCTGATTCTCCCTGAGAAAGGAGTTAAAGAGCAATTAATCAACTTGAATTCAGACGATGCCTCATTGTCGCCGTTCACTTTCGTTCTTCAGAAAGGCGGTTTGGATGCTAGAATCAGCGCAGCTAGGGTTATGAAATCACTCGCGGCGTTTGACAACGAATCTCGCCGAGTAATCGCCGATCAAATCACCTTATTAAAAGAGCTATACCGCCTAACAAGTTCCGAAACCGACCTAAAGGCGGTGGAGGCAGGATTCGCAGCTCTGATCGCCGTTTCCACATCTCGCCAATCGAAAAAGGAACTCGTCCGTCTCGGGATCGTGAGAACCGCCGGTAAAATCCTCTCCGGTCCGGAAAACACAGTTCCGGTGATTGAAAAAGTGATGAAGATACTAGAGATGGTGTCGACATGCACCGAAGGACGGACGGCGATTTCTGAAGACGAGAACTGTGTAACGGCGGTCGTACACCGGCTGATGAAAGTATCACCGGCGGCGACGGATCACGGAATCGGAGTGATCTGGAGCTTGTGTTACATGTCAAGAGATGGAATGGCTCAGGAATCTGCAATGAGAAACAATGGATTGACAAAGGTGTTGCTCGTGATGCAGAGTAATTGCTCCGGCACAGTGAGGCAAATGTGCGGCGACTTGGTCAAGGTTTTCCGAGTTAACTCAAAGTCATGTTTGGCGAGCTACGAAACGCGGACTACTCACATCACGCCGTATTGACTCGGTCTATACAACTTTTTTTTTTTTTTTTTTTTTTTTTTTTTAGAATTCATCTGACTTACGATTTTAGATCAAAAAGCTGTAAATCATATTTTTATTATAAAATGACAAATTGATCCCTCCCTCCACCGCTACCAATCAAGCAATTGCATAAAACCTAATTTTGTCTTTTACTATAATTTTCTTATAAACAATTGCAAAAAATAAATAATAATAATTGAAATGAATTAATAGAATCTATTAATCTGAAAAGTTAAGTGTTAATATAAATAGGTTTTGTCTTCTATTTTATTGCTAGTATATATTTTTATTGTTGCATATTTGTATTGTTTTACTTGTTTGCCCTTATCCCTCTTATGTATACTTCTAGTTTTAATGTTTTCATTTGTTTTTTTATATTTGCTTATTTTTCATTTTGAGTTGGCGCTTTCATATGAATGAGACCACTCTCTGTGGGCAAGTTATCTGGTTTTTATGGCGTTAAGGTATTGTTGTTGTTCTCGTTGTATTAATGGTTAATATTTTTTATGTGCTAAATTAGGTTTTATATTATGAAGCTCAAAAATAATTTATATTTATTATATATAATAGTTCATATTTATGGTTTTCGATTTTCGGTTAATTAATGTATAAAGCGCGATTCGATTGCTTGAAGAAATTTGTTAAGATAAAACTTGTTGCTGAGAAAAAAAATTAGGGATTTATAACCAGGTACAAACCAATATAAATCAAAATAAAAATTTTCACTTTAAGGTATATTTGATAAAACTAGTTAGAAATGTAACTTCTGTTTGTTTAGAATTGTTAAGTAAAAATATAAAAATATATAAAATAAACTAAAACATAAAAAGATAAAGATAAAAACTCTTAAAAACTTTTTTGAAACCTCTCAAAAGCTAAACTTATTTACATTTTATGTTTTCAACCACATACATACACAAACCCTTTTTTGTATTGTAAAAGGAATTTATTAACAAAATGATCATCTATTTTTTTTTCTTGTCTAATGGCATTGCATATGCAATTCCGCATGTTAAAATATAAAAATTTCCAAATTTGAATAAGGATTAACGTTTGGTTTGAATCCTACGTATGGACAACTTCTACCTTAGACTTTGACCAATACCTGTAAGAGAAAGATGCTTTTGGAGATGTATAAAGACAAAACCAGTATTAACTATTACGTGACAGAATATAAAATAAATTATATTTATATGAGAAAGATGAATTAAATTAATTAAACTAAAAGCAGGGACTACTGTTTTTGACTTTTGTGGTTTGACAAATATTTATAGGTTGATGCTTTTGACCCTAAAATCGGGTAATTGTTGGACATGATTTAAAGTGGTTTTGATTCTTGATGTTGGCATGTTTTAAACCAAATGTGTTTTCTTTTTTATGTGAAGAATATATGACGTTAGTTAAATGCCATTATTTCCTTTATTGGTATCAAGAATAGTTGCAAAAATTGTTCTAAAAGCTACCATTTCATATTCTATATTTCACTTTTTTATAACTTTATGAATAAATTACGGATTTCGTTTATTTGGTTTTGCTTTATTTGTAGGTTTGGTCTAGTAGTATTAGTGGTTACAATTTTAATCAGAATTTTTTAATTTAACAAGGAACTTCGATTTTTTTATAAGGCATGTGGTATACGTATTAGTCATTTTCCTTATTTTGTTTTTAAACGGATTTTAATTTTTTAACAATCATAAAATTCTAGAACATACTTACATAAGCTTCATTAACTTATAAATTAAAATCCTAATTAAGTGACTTAATATAGAGCTAGAAATAAACGCAAATGATAAAGATCTTTGATCTAACAATATCAGGAATTATAGATAACCGTCTTTCAGATTTAGACAAAATATTTAAATTTTAAAAATAAAATAATGGATATTTATTTAAATCGTTCTAAAAAAGATGTAATAAAATTGGATTTAAATTTTGACGTTTTATTTAAAAGAAAATAAAAAAGATAACATAAGTTATTAAGCTTTTTCTCATAAATAAACTAAACTTTAAAAATATTAAAAAATAACCACCATCTTTCGGCGATGCCTATGTAGCGGATCTCAATGGGCGGAAGTGGTTCTAACTGTTTAAGCCATTTTTTCATATTTCTTTTTAAGTTTTCAGTTTTATATGATTTAAAAGAGAAAATAAATATATTCCTCTATTTTCTTTCTACTAATTTTCCTACCATTCTTAAACATTAATATGTATCATATTTAATAAAATTAATAATATTTTAATACATCATTTAAAAACGCTTTTATCTCACCATAATTGAACAACGGACTTATTCGAGTAAACTTTTTCTTATATATTAGTTTGTATTTGCCTATATTTTTCTACCATGTAGAGAACTTTTTTTTTTTTTTTATATATATTTGAGCATTTTCGTAGGCACCACACCAAATGCATTTTCATAAGTCACCCTACGCAAATGCATTTTTGCATTGTACCCCGAGAAACTTTTTTTTTTTTTTTTTTTTTTGTTATTTTTTGTTTCAACTCTTTTACAGGTATACTAGCATAAGATTTCTTACTTAGGCATTAGGATGTATAGTTTATTTATAGAAAAAAATAGAGTAAATTACACGAATGGTCCCTATGGTTTAGCGTAATTTGTGCGTTTGATCCCTAACTTATTTTTTTAACTCGAAAGGTCCCTACTGTTTGTTTTTGTTACGCGTTTGGTCCCTATTTTACCCTTTATTTTTTAATTTATTTAAATAAACACACCCCAACCCCACCCCCTCACCTTACCTTACCTAACTCACCATTTTTTTCCTATTTAAATAATAGTCTTTTTAGGTAAGATAGGGACCAAACGCGTAACAAAAACAAACAGTAGGAACCAAACACGTAATAATAACAAACCACAGAGACCTTCCGAGTTAAAAAAATAAGTTGGGGACCAAACACGCAAATTACCCCAAACCATAGGGACCATTTGTGTAATTTACTCAAAAAAATATTTTCGCAAGTCATTTTGCATGATACCCAGCGAATATGGTTTTATGGGGACTTGTTTGTAGGTTGGTTTGGTTCTTAACAGGTCCTATTGATCATATCTCAACACTTTTAACTTCTTGTTTTGTGTTTTTTTACTGTAGTATATTTTTCTTATGTATAGTTTTACAAGTTACTCGTACATTAGGAAATTGGAAATTTTTCTTAATTTGAAAAAATAAATAGAAAATATATTACGCCAAACACATTTTCAAAATTTACACTTCTCTTATAAAATGTTTATGGAAAACAAAGAAGTGCGGTTGGTTATAGAAATTATTTTCAGTTTCTTGAAAAGTATTCAAGAAAAAAAGGATAGTAGAGTCTTTATTTTGAATGGAAAATTTAAAAAACACGTTTGATTAAAACTTATTGAGTTTTATTTTTCATTTTAGAAAATTTACAAAAAGTGTTTGAATTATTGAATATGTATGTCCAAACGGTTTTTATTTTTCAATTTTCGTTACATCAATACAATATTTAACATATTACCTTTTACAAGTTATATTTAATTTAGAAAATCAAGAAACTCTCTTTTCTTGGAAAAAATTTGGAAAAAAATTGAACCAAAAATGTTTTTCTAAGTTCTCAATTTTTCTTTAGAAATTTTTTTACAACCAAACATACCCTTGTATTTAGTGAATTTTGTTTATACTAACTATTTGAATAAAACCACAAAATACTAATTAGATTTTATATTTTATATTAAAAACAACTTTCACATGTTATAGCAGATAAAAACGATCAAAATAGAAAATATGCCAAACGTGATTAGCTGTTACGAAATTAAAATATAATAATTACACCATTAAAACGATAACAATATAATAAATTTATGTATTTTTCCAAATAAAAAAGCGAAGTTTCGACTATTTTAAAAGCAAGACAATTTGAGTCGTTGATTTTAACTAAAATCGACCTATAAAATCAAAAGGGTTGTTCATTAATGTACTAAAACAAAGGATGCTATATCATTAAACCACCTCTTTTTAACATTCACTACACCTGGACATAAGTTCTTTTAGGGGAAATGCATTTATGAATTGTTCCCACTACAAAAAATGAAAATTCTATAAAAAACAATTTGTGGCATGCTTTCTGTTCTGCAGAATATGGTTTTTGGGAATTGAATTTTTTAATCTTTTGTGAATTCGCCTGTTTTGCGGATTTCTTGTGAGATCCACATCATCCACTCACAAACATTTAAAAAAGTCATTTTAAAAATTGTTTTAACAAGCTAAAGCTTTAAACATAATTCAGATCAACTGGAAAAAAAACAATATACTCAAATCAAGCACCAAATAGATCTAAAAAACACTGAAAACAGATCCATTCAACATTTCAAGGAATTTGTTGTTCGAAAGATAAACAAATACTAGAATCTGGAAATTAAAATAGATTATATTATAGATTTCCGGTTTCACATTATCCAAAATGGGACTGAATGCAATCTCACGTAAATCACTCATGTTTTGCTACATCCAGCTTCTTTACCTGCCACACCTGAAATATCAACAACCATTAGACCCCACTTGCTAAACAGAACAATTTGTACTGTGTTTGACATGCATTGAACCAAAACAGGTGTCAATGGGACAAAATTTACAATTTTTTGTCCCATCTAAAAAAGTAGAACAAGGTAGGACAGAGACTCACTTTCTATCTCTCGTTTGTTAAAAAGACATAAATGCCCTCCACATCCTAATCATCAAAAATAGCCCTACAAAGCTTGACCAGTCCCAATAGTGTCGTGTCCAGTAACAAATGCAGCCTTCGGCTGCATTTGTTACACGGGACACGACAAGACAAGACTCAACAAGCTTTTTAGGGCTGTTTTTTATGATTAGGATGTGGAGGGCATTTACGTCTTTTTAACAAACGAGAGATAGAAAGTGAGTCTTTGTCCCACCTTGTTCTACCTTTTTGGATGGGACAAAAAATTGTAAATTTTGTCCCATTTGACACCTATCTCGGTTCAATGCATGTCAAACACAGTACAAACTGTTCTGTTTATGTCTTATTACAAAAAAATTAAATCTAAAATGTTTTTATTACAAGAAACTAAAAAACATTACCTTAGATGCATAATCAAGGGCGTTCATAGGGACCAGAACGATCGCGATCGCGATCACGTCTATCGCTTCCCGAGCCACCACGACTGCCGGAATCCCTATTCCGTCCACTCGAACGATCACGATCTCCGCCACGGTCAGGACCATGGCGGCTGCCGCCACCACCACCACCACCACCATATCTGTCATCTCTTCCACCATACCTACTACCACCTCTTGACCCTTCTCCAGATGGACATTCACGAGCAAAATGTCCAGGCTTTCCACATTTGAAGCAGTCACCGCCAGATCCCCGCCCACCACCACCGCCGCCGCCGCCATAATCACGATCTCGCCCGCGGTCCCTGCCCCTGTCGCGGTCACGGTCACGACCGCCATCACGGTCTCTACCACCACCACCACCGCCGCCTTGATTTGGTTGAGCTTTGTCTACTGAAATCGGACGCCCATCTAAATCTATTCCATTCATTGCTTCAATTGCATCTTCCATTGATTTTTCATCATCAAAAGTAACAAATCCAAACCCACGTGATCTCCCTGATGATCTGTCCATAACCACCTAGAAAACAAAGAAATGTGAATTAGTGTACAAATGAAAAAAGATTGCAACTTTATGTCCTGAATTTGTGTACACATGAAAAGAGTTTACCTTGGCATCTAGAAGATGGTCAAATTTTTTAAAGGCTTCTTTCAAATCCCTGTCAGATGTTGACCATGAAAGGTTCCCAATGAAACAACGATATTCATCCTGATCAATCATGTTCACCTGAAAGAAGAAGAAATAGAAGGTGTCATATACAGCTAAGAGATGAATAAATCCATCACTCTGTTTCAGCAAAAAGCAAATACATTTTGAAATTTTGGAATTTTGAAGATTATATTATGTCTCAACTAAGATCTAACATTGTATTTGAGTAAGTGACCTAAACACCCCTAAACTTGCAAATCTTTGATACTCCAAAGTGAAGAAATGCCAAACTGCATTCACCTTTTATCATACAATACAGCTCAGTAAACTGGAAAACAAATATTGTTACAGGTTTCTCCATTTTTGGCGAGAGAAATTACCACATGAACTCTGAAAATATTTAACCAGCTAAATCACACTAACACCAAAAGCGGCCAATGAAATAGTTACAGTGAAGGAATATCCAAGGTTTCAACTTACACTTATCGGATTAGGCAAAACGTGTTAGATACCTAGATCGTTGAGGATCATCAACATTTTTACAACAGCCGTGTCACCGGAGATATTTGAAGCCAAAACTGTATTAAAATTTATGGGCTGGGATACCGTAAAAAATCAATATGTTCGAGTTCAAAACGAATTGGCTTAGATTGTTGGGTCCCTATCACATACGTCGAATATATGAAACAAAATGCAGAGATACAAATTTAATGCATCATGAACGAAAAAGAAGAGCTATAAAGCTACCACGGAGTGAAAAATCGTCCGATAGAAACTAGATAGCTGCAGATACTAGATCAAGAACATCGTTTAGCAAATACGACACGTAAAGTATAAGAGAAAGATGAATCTAAGATGCTATTCTGTTGTAGAGTAAAGAGCCGAAGTACTTACAGTTTTTTCGCAAACGATTGCGTCTATAAGCGAGAGAGTTCCTTCTCTTCGCTTTCCAAAACCCTAACCCTAATCTGATTGAGGTGGAGACCTCAAATTCGGTTCGAGAAGGATTTTTGTCAATTATTAAGTTAACTAGGCAAAATATTATAATTTGTACCCTTATGGTTTAAAAATACTGCTATCACAGTCCCTCTCCAGGTGTTTTGAGACAACATAGACAAATAATTGCGTTTCTAACAATTTTGTTAGGTTTAATAAAGAACTAAGAACTAGGGGAATATATGTATATTGTGCCGGGTAAAATTATATGATTAGAATTTGGCAAGTATGATTAGAATTTGGCAAGTGCATATTAAAATTAATTATGTTTTTTTTGGAAAAAGAACTTTCCTAACGAGGGTTTTTGGACCAACTTTCGCGTACCGACTAATCATCCGCTACGAACATGAGGCTATGTCTCATGCCCTGGAGTCACTGCAGACGAACCTCCATGGCCACATAGGTTGAGTAGTGTCAGGATTTGAATATGAATCAATAGGTTATCCACAATATCTTCCACATTTATTACCACGTCACCACAACCTAAGTGGTTTAAAAGTAATTATGTTATTAATACTAACCATGAAATAATAATTTTTTACAGTAATTTGTTATGGAAATTTATAATGATTTTGAACAATGTTATAACATTTATTAAAAACATATCATTTAATGGTCGTTACTCGCAGCTGATATATGAATAAAACTAAATATAATTCTCAATTTAATGTTGCTTTTAACATTATGATTAACTAATTTAGAAATTACTTATTTGATTTTTTTGTAAGGTAACGTAATGTAATTTATAATGTTATGTTATTTTTAACTATTATTATTGTTAATGGTTATGATTTAAAAACCATTTATTTGAAAAAATTCCAGTTATTATAAAAATTTACATTTGGATATTTTTAGTTAGTTTGACATATCGATTTAGTTTTATATTTAAATATTTTAAATTATTTTAATTCCAATACTTTTATGTTTATTTTATATTTTGGACTTAACATGATATTAAAACTAATAGTTTAAGTATTTGTATTGATAATTCAAAAAATCTGTCACACTCCCAAACCGGAACGGCGGAAACGTTCGGGGGTGGTTGACGTCATGCGTAGTATCACAACAATTGTATCATAGCAAGCATAGTAAACACAACCAGACATTGAATACATATATGAAAAAGTTTTACATTGTTTAATACATAGTTTGTTCATATCAAAAGTAAAATGGAAAGACGTGACTCTACGCTCCGACTTCTCCAAATTCATGGAAGTACTTGTGTACTAATTCCATGAGGATACAAGCAGTTTTGAAAGAATATCAGCATAAAGCTGGTGAGTTCATAAGCATTTAGTTTTGGTGGAAAAATGTTCTTTGATTCTTGTGAAAAGTGTTCCTCAATAAAATCCTATATTTTCTTATGAAAGCATGTTTGAAAACCCATTCTTTCCATGACTTCCCGGTTCGTACTAAATACGCACAATCCAAGGAGTCATGGAATGAATACGAACGTCCATTAGTAGAAAATAAACCATCAGTTTTAGAAATGTCAGTGTTATCCTAGGAAAATCCTATATTTTCCCTAAAAGCAGGTTATCCGTCCTAGAGGTAGAGATGCCAGTTTAGAAATCCCCGATTAATATCAGCATATATAAAAGTAGTTTTATTACTCAAAATAAAACAAATGAAGATTAGAGTCCGTAAACCAAAGTTAGTTTATACTTATTTGCGAGTCGTATAACCATACTTGATATGACCGAGAGACCTTAATAATATTCTTCAGGCGTTAAGCTAAATGACATTTGTTCACCCCAGGCGTGCCCGCCTAACTGTAGCTAGCAGTTCAGGTGTGGGATTGTCAGTCCCGAATAGATCTATTCACAAATCTCACGCTCTCCCTCCAGGAGACTCTGGTTATACTAAAAGGATTTATCACTGTACACCTAAGAGTACAATATTGAAGTAGAGCCTCACAATTCTGTATAATCTAGTTTACGTGCTAAAAACAGTATAAAACAATAATCATCCTTAAATAATTGTATTTTATACTCCTTAGAAAATATATAACATAAACTAAATTTGTCATAGTTTAGATATATTCATTTATCAAATCTGAATTGGTAAGAGCTGCCTAGAGGGTTATCTCAAACTATACCCATTATAGTTTATTAGAGTTGATATGGAAAATGTTTTGTAAAAACCTTTCTGAAAACCATGAAGTAGATTGCCAAAATAAAAGCTTCCCTTATGCTCGACATAATACAAAAGGGATAAAATATCGGAATATTTTATTAAACATGGAAATCGTTGAATTGTATTAATAAGTTTAAAACTTAATAAAATACTTTGAGTTTGGCTTGTATTCCCCCCTGAAAGCATTAAAAACACGGAAAATGTGGGGGTATGAACTCACCGTGGTTGTGTGGAAACGTCCACTGGAAACGAAGATCCTCGGGTTGTTGTACGTGGCACTTAACGGAATCCTAATATCAATAAATACGTATATGTATCTAAATTAGAGATTTCGTTAGATAAAGTGTTAGAAAAACACTTGCTTTCGGTTAAGGAATGTTACCGGAACCTGCTTGAATCGAGAAAACGAGCTTTCACCACTTAAGAAGAGTTTGCGGCCGTGAAGAGTGGTTTACGGCCGTGAACTGGGTTTACGGTCTTTGAAGATGGGCCGTAAACGGGTTTACGGTCTTTGAATATGGGCCGTAAACTCAAGAACAAGGGTGCTGATTTCGAAGAGAAATGTGTTCCAGATGCCCTGAAATAACTCTAAACGGTGTTTCTCGGTGTTTTCTCGAAGATTGAAGGCCTTCTAGGTGTTTACGGTCACGAGTTTTAGAGAGAGAAAGAGAGAGTTTCCGGTCAAAGGTGTTCAAATGAGGGTGGGGTCTCATATTTATAGAGGTTTTGTGGTCGGTGGGTGGGGTCCACCCGACGTTGGCCGCAAACGAGTTTACGGCCGTGAACTCCAGTCAGGCCGTGAACATGATGTTTTTCGAGGATAATTCGAGTTTCGCGCGATTTTGGTTCTGACTTGCATATTTAAGTTTAATTATATAATACCAGATGATTTTCTAAATCAAAGGTTCGACGGAATATTAATAAAATTCAAATTTTATTAACGGAAATTGCATAATGGAAACGGAAAAAGTTTCGGGTTGTCACAAAATCTACCATTAATATGACAATATTTCATATTTAATAACACATATAAATTAATAAAATAAATATTACAATGAAATATAAAGAGTTTGGGGGTTTCAAATGCATGTCATGATGAAAGGAAAAATGTTTTTTTATAGTATAGTATAGTATATAGTATAAATATGTATTTGTATTTTTAAGAGGATTTGAATTTGTAAGAAAGTTTAAAAAGGTATGAATTTTTAAAATCTGAATTTCTAACATGTTGATTGGTTGAAACCTACGAATTGTTGTGTTGAATTATAAAAATAATCATTTACCCTTATGTATTATTCTTTGTTGAGTTTAATGTTTCTGTTTATATAATAATTGAACAACTGCTTGAATAATTATAAAAAGATATATATAAACACCATACAAAACCAAAATCAAACATAAATCAAAATTAAACACAAACCCAAATTTGTAACATCTCAAAAATCCAGGTAAATTTTTCATTTTTAAATTACAAACAAAAACCATAATTGTTTGCTAAAATAACTTCCAAAAGTAATAATCACGAATCAAAGTATCCCAAAATCAAATATCATAAAAATCAGAAGGATGTGCACGATCATGCATTTGCTTTCCCCCGATCATCTGAAGTACCTCGAACATAAAACTTAAACTGTAAGCCAAAGTTTAGTGAGTTCCCCCAAAGTACCACACAAAACCAATACAAATAACTGATGGGTTTTGAGCACTACAACATTTCTATGGTGTACATGCAACCCCTAATGCTTTGGATCTAGTTTTTTCTCAAGTTATACATGCAAATAATCATCCAAAGCATAAACCCTAATTCTAGCATACTATTTTCGAAAATCCACACAATATTAGTGTTATAACATTACCTCTCTTATTATGTAGCAATAACAAGTATAATCCTTCTTGATCTTGACTTCTGAAAGCCTAGTGCCCCAAGTGTTGACCCTTAATGAAGTCTCAAACACCCAATGCAATAGGAATGACTTAGGAGAGAAGGATTTTCGGCCACCTTAGGGGTTTTAAAAGGCATTGGACGACAATCCCTTGATATGGGGTTCTATATATATAGTTGTGGCTGCTAGGGTTTTCTGGTGGAAACCCTAATACCTGACTTAGGCAACAAGCGGCCCTTTAACTCCTTCCTTAGAGTCCATGGACGAAATCTTATTGTCTTCCCCATAAATTTCGTCCACTCCACTCTATGGAGTCCATCAGCCCATTTATGCAACTATCAATGATTTGCATAACAGTCCCCCAATTATTTAATCAGTCTCATTTGACCACTAAATTAATTCCAAATTAATTTCTGATCAATACTAATTAAATAATATGATTTCCAAATAATATATTAATCTTGTAATATATTAATAAAACCATTTTGAGTACCAATTTATTATTCATATAATAAATCTTACTCTCTCTCCTCTTGTCATCCTACCAAGTTGCATGAGTGAAGGCAACCCAAAAGGACCATGCTCATAATCGGGTCAAGTACATACCAATAATAGTTATGGGCTTAGACACCTAATCCAACAGTCTCCCACTTGGATAAGTCTAATAACTATAACTGCAAGTACGACTTCAAAATCTGATTAACAATCGTAGCTTTCAAAAGCCGTTGTCGAACTCTGATCTTATCAGTAACGCGTCCTTTAGATAAGGGATCATATATTCCTCCATTCTAGATATCGAATGAACTGAGACATGGATTACAATCATTCTCTCTGTTCATGTATTGTTTCCTGATTTTCGATTTATGAAGACTGACTAATTGAACAAATCAAATCAGTCCAAGTTTGGCCAAACGCTTAGGGGTGTCATCACTAAATCATCGAGGGGCCCACATATATCGCTTTTATCCCTCTTAGGGTAAAAGGAATGGATAAACTTCGACTCATATGCTTGCACTATTTACTCATCAAATCATACACAACAATACGTTTTATAACATCAAGTTACTGATACGTTTACGTATTATTAATGTGCAACCGACTCGTAAACAACAATTCATATATCTTTCGTTTCAAGAATATAAGATATTATCATATCACAATCACTCGTGATAAAATCCATGAAGTGATTCATGTGAGCGTGGGTTTAATCCAATACTCAAATCTTATTTCATAAGCACTCATGAACCTTTGCAACAAACTTTTGCTATGTCTAAACGCTTTAGACAATCTACAAGCCAATTCATGACAGTCTTGCGTCAATACCTACTTCCAACGTATGATCGACTGTGAATAGTTTGAATAATCTTATTATTC